TCTTCTACGTATCATACAGAATTATTTATTTGAGTAATCTCTGATGAAAATTTTTCTCAGAATTTTTCACATAATTTTGCAGAAATTCTATATAATTTTTCAGAATTTCCATATAATTTTATAACTTTCTTACATTTTTCATACGAATTGGAACACTTCTCAGAAAATCTACATCTTATCTCAGAATTTTTCATATATATTACTTATGAAATATATAAGATTTCTAAGATTTTTTGTATAATTTCTGATGAAATGTTATAAAATCTAAAACAAGAACATTTTTTTTTAATTATGGAATGAGAAATTTCAGAATTCACTTGTATAAACAGTTCTGAGAGAAGATATAAACTTTCTGAATATTTCTGAAAAATGTTCTAATTCATACAAAAATTATGAGAAAAATTGTCGCTAGAGATGCAATAATATTTTTTTAATTTCAGGAATAATTTTATCGAGAATCTTTCGAAAAAACCTTTCGAGTAAAGTTTTAAGCCCATGGCACATACAAAAACGTAAGGCCGTAAGACATAATCAGTAAGCGAATTGGCCAATCACGATAGAGACCGTAAGGCCAGTAGCGAATCCAATCTTACGATTTCTTTACTGCTTACGTATTACGGCCTTACGTTTTTGTATGTGCCATGGGCTGCGTTCAGCAGACTCAACAGTTTTGCAACCGTTTTATGATTGTCTGCTGAGATAGGACCATTCTTCTAGATCTAAAAGTATGATCCAATTAGCGCGAAGGAAACTTACAACAGTTGCAAAACAAACGTTCTGCTGAACGCACCCATTGGCTTTACTCCGTTAATAGCAGTGCAAATTAAGAGGTTATGGTGATGACAGTTTAAAGGCAGTTTCATTGCATGTCGGCCATTTTTAATACTATCGTTAGTAACTTTGCGATACTGACTTAAGCCGGTTGCGCTTCTCTGATATCTAGGACTCTAGGTCTCACCAACTCCAATTAAACTAATCGGCCGATTAAATATTGCCAACTTCAAGACTTGAAAATATCTTTTTTCTGGCGGGGCGCCGAATACTCACGTGCTCGACTCGCAAGGCTTTTTTGCATTTAAGAAATTTGCCATTAATATGGACTTGTGCTATTAATGGGCGCGTTCAAGTTGACAAAGCGGCTAGCCTGCTCGCCAAGCAAATGAACATAATTGGTTGTTACTTATAGATCCAACTAATCATATTCAATCGCTCGGTAAGCATGCCTAACCGCTTTGCCGTCTTGAACTCGCCCATTATCACATCGTTCTTCACAATTACCAGAAAATTAGGTAATGTTTTCAGTCTTGCAATTGGCAATACTGAAATTTAATCGACCGATTAGCTTATTCGAAATTAGTGAAATCGGGCCTAAGGTGCACAATAGAAGGAATAAGGAATTAGGAATAAGTAAGTCCGGATTTACAATAGGTGTTTTAAGCCTTAAGTCATAAGAAATTGACCAATTACCGTCGAATTCAGTCATTTCTTATGGCTTAAGGCTTAAAATCCTATTGTAGATCTGGAGTAAGGCACTACCCAGACAGCACAGAGCACACAATATTTATAAAATATTTACAAAATGTTTATAAATATTTGTAAGATTTATTTTAAATATTTTGTAAATATATATATAT